ATGTTAACAGTGTGAGACCGTGTTAACAGTGTTAACAGCTTTTAGTAGAAGGCCATGGAGAGAGATGATGGCTAAGGATAGCTTCCCAGCTTCTCTCTTAAAGGCCTTCCTCTGCTGTTGCTGCAGTGAAATGGAAATTTCTTTGAATTCTCACAACTATCAACATTTTTTCTTAACTTTTCATCCTCTCCCCTCCACCATTTCTAGCACCTATGCACTACCTAGACTTTTCCAGAGGTGTCCAACCTGCAGCCCATGGGTTGCATGTAGCCAAAGATGGCTATGAACATGGCCCAATACAAAATCATAAGTTTACTTAAAACATTATGAGATTTTTTTGTGTGATTACATGTTGCAATGTATTTAATGTGTGGCCCAAGACAACTCTTCTTCTTCCAGTGTGGCCCAGAGATTCCAAAAGGTTGGACACCCTTGATAGACACACCCACAGTATTGCCCACCCAGGAAAGGGCATCTTCTTCTGGAAAAGGTGTGTGTGTGCTGTTTCTCTAAATCCTGCTTTCTCCAGGTTCCCTTATTGCTTCTGGATCGTCCCCAATGTACAGTATTTGCCATTCCACCACTAGCCCACTCTATTGTTGTGGTTTCCTGCTCTAATTTTATTGGTTTTGAGGAAATTTCCCCAAATTCCTACATCATTTGGTTTCTGTGACTTCTGTAATTTCTCTCCACCCAGTATTAGTGAAAGTGTAAGTTTCAAGAGCCTCATTTATTTTTCTGGTTATTTCAAGTGTTTAGAAGGAGAAATAAAAAGACCTGTCCTTGATCTTATGCCAAATTACTACTAGAACTCACAACTTTTAGGTTGCTTTTGTTATTAACAACTGATTCCAAATTCATTTTTTGGATTATAAAATTTGTTATATTATAAAAGACCCTGAAGTTATTATACCTGAAGGTGATAACTGAATGTATAAAGGAGGGAGAAACTAATTTAGGCACGGTTTGCAACTATGTACATAGACCTCAGTGTCCCTGTGAGTTAATAATTGCAATCTGAGCTTCCATAGGTATATGATACATAATCTCTTGGCTAAATAATTAATATATTTCAGTATATTTATGAGATATTAACTCTTCAATCCTATTTTTTAAATTAAAGATGGTAATAAGCAAGATATGGGAGGCAATTTGTATTAAACATTTGATTTAAATATTCTGGTTAAGTTTGCCAGTGAGAGAAAACATAGGCAAGCATTATATTCATTACTCTCATAGGCAAATAGATGATACCATTTTGCACTATCCTCATGATAGCATTTTTTAAATAAAATCTCAATAAGTGCCAGAAATAAAGCCAGGTTTCTATGGTCAATTAATATTTGACAAAGGGGGCAAGAGGATAAAATGGAGTAAAAATAGTCTCTTTAACAAATGGTGTTGGGAGATCTGGACAGCTAGTTGCAAAAAAAAAAGTGACATCATACACAAAAATAAACTCAAGATGGATGAAAGACTTAAATATAAGTCATGACGCCATAATAGTCCTAGAGGAGAAGATAGGCAGGAAAATTCCAGATATTCCATGCAGCAATATTTTCACGAATACGTCCTGTAGAGCAACAGATATAAAGTAAAGAATAAACAAAAGGAACTACCTCAAATTAAAAAGCTTCTGCACAGCTAAAGAAAACATCAGCAAAATGAAAAGGGAACCAAACCGTATGGGAAAACGTATTTACCAATGATACCTTGGACAAGGATTTGATCTCTAAAATATATAAAGAACTCACACAGCTCCACTCCAGGAAGACAAACAATCCAATTAAAAAATGGGCAAAGAACCTGAACAGACACTTCTCCAAGAAGGACACACAGAGGGCCCATAGACATATGAAAGGATCCTCAGCATCACTAGCTCTCAGAGAAATACAAATTAAAACCACAATGGGTTATCACCTAACACTGGTCAGAATGGCCATCATAAACAGATCAACAAACAATGGGTGCTGGCGAGGTTGCAGAGAAAAGAGAACCCTAGTACACTGTTGGTGGGAATGCAGACTGGTGCAGCCAATGTGGAAAACAGTATGGAATTCCCTCAAAGAACTAAAAATGGAACTGCCTTTCCACCCAGCAATTCCACTGCTGGGACTATAAGAATCCTGAAACACCAATTCAAAAGAACCTATGCACCCCACTGTTCATAGCAGCACAATTTTCAATAGTCAAGTGCTGGAAACAGCCTAAGTGCCCATCTGTAAATGAGTGGATCAAAAACTATGGTATGTTTATGCAGTGAAATACTGCACAGCACAAAGAAAGAACTCCTACCCTTCACAACAGCATGGAAGGATCTGGAGAACATTAGACTAAGTGAAATAAGCCAGGTGGTTAAAGATATATACCATATGATTTCATCCATAAGTGAACTTAATCTACAAAACAAACAAGTGAGCAAAATAGAACCAAGACATGAAAATAAATAGCGAACTTACAGTGACCAGAAGACACGGGGGAGGGGGTTAAAGGGAGAAAGAAAAGGAAGGGTAATCAAGGAAAATGAATAAAGGACCCATGGACAAAGACAATGGGATATGGGGTAGATTGAATGTGGAAGGTGGGTGCGTGGGTAGGGCAGAGAAGAGTGATGGGGGAAAATGAGGACAATTGTAATTGAACAACAATAGAAAAAAAGTGAAGCCCCTCAAAAACAAGGTCAATAATTGTCTTTCAGACAATTTTTTTCAAAACATTTCAGAAATGTTAAAACACATGCCATCTCCGTTACTGTCATTACTAAGTCTCATATTATCTTTCAATGATAGATTCTTCTTATTGAATAAGACATGCTCTTTCAATTATAATGTTCTATATTTATATTTTTGAAAAATACAAAATATTTCTAAATGTAATTTGAAAAACTCTCATAAGCTATACTACATGCATATAATTGAATTTATCCTTTCATATTTAAATAAAATGAAAATTTTGCCTAATAATTATCACTCCCTTATCAGTTATCTACTTATTTAAAATCTCTCTAATGTATTTTGATACATCTTCACACCTAATGAGTTTGTCAAATATTTTTACCATTTTCAAAAGTATTTAGATTTTGTAATTGAAAAATTGAAACTTCGATTTAAAGTATATATTTTTATTCATGGGCTCTCCAACAAATTGTATTTTTATATCACAAATAATTAAAATACAGGCCCTTCATGCTGTATTAAGTAAAATTATTTTACAATGTAAAAGTAAATCATACATAAAATGTTCAAGATTTGAAAACTTGAAGGCTAAATCAAGGGTTGCCTGGAGAGGGCATAACTGGTGCCATCACTAGAGGACGGTGTGTGACGAGGGAGCAGGATAACAGTTGGTCAAGAAGGTGAAAGGGGTGGCATTTAAAGATAAAGATAAATCTCAAATATGCTTCCACAAAAAGTGGCCAGTATACATTCTAAGACATATCTGAGAATTCCCATTGAACTAACTGTTCCTGTCATAAAGTGACAAATTTTCATTAGAAATATGTCTATAATATATGCTTGATGTACAAATACAGAGTGGGGTAAAAGCAGGCTTATAGCTTTGTGTATACAAAAGACAGAGTTTATTCTTGTATTATTATTTTAAATTATTGTATTGTTTTTCATATGAACAACTGTAAACATACTTTTGCCCTACCATGTAATATAATTGTATATTTGAAAACATTAATAAGCAAAGATAAGTAAATGAAAATCAATACAACCTCACAAATCACTCACACACACTTATTAACATCTTATATGAGGTGCTTTGCAATGTGTGGAAATATTTATAAGTACAGATTTATTGTTTTTTTCCCAAAATATTATACAGTTTGTTCACTTTATTTGGTGAAATATTTGTAAACCATATTTTAGTATATGAATAGTGTGGGCATAAATTAACTATTCTGTTATAATGAACAATCACATTATTTCTAGTATTTATTGATTGATTTTAGAGAGATAGAAACATCAGTCTGTTTTTCCACACATTTATGCATTCACTGCTTGTATGTGCCCCAACCAAGCATCAAACCTGCAACTTTAGCATCTTGGGATGATGCTGTAACTAACTGAGCTAACTGGTCAGGGCACATTGTTTCTAGTATTTCACTCTTGTAACTACTACTTTGAATAACATATTAGTAAAGTCCCTTTTAAAAAATATACAGGAGTGAGCAAAAGTAGGCTTACAGTTGTAATATGAATAAATAATACAATAAGTAAGAAATAATAACACAAGAATAAACTGTTTCATGTACTCACAACTACATATCTATTTTTGCCCACCTCTGTGTATCTGATTATATAAGTGATGAATGACATTGAGATATTGATGGGTAGGATATGCATGGATATTTGAGACTCTGATAGGGACTGCTAATTGTCTATCCAGTTTGACTCTCTGTCGTGCCTGTACACTGTCCTGTGACATAGCTCTGGCAGTAAAACCTGACTGAAGATGGACCTGTGGAAAAGTTCTGTTAAAAGAAGGATGACATTCTTGGCATTGTTCCCTTGTGCTTTTAGCATTGGAATGTGAGAAAAAATTCTCACACGGCTGGAGTTTTAGCAACTATATATGGAAAATAAATGGCAACCAAGGAATGGCTGAATGTACAAGCACACAAAACAAGTGCTGTAGGGGGTGAGACAGAGAGAGAGTGAGTAAGAGTGTATTACTGTAGAGCTTCCATACTACCCCTGGATCTTCCATCTCCAGTTTTCTCATTGTGTGAGAAAATAAATACCTAAATTGTTTCTGTCACTACCACTTTAGCTTTGCTATGGACAATTTAATTCCTAATTTATATAATATGCAACTGCCTTCACAAAAGGTACATTCCCATGAGCTGCATATTAAGTAGCTCATTTCACTGTGCTCTAACCACCACTGGGCATCTTGCATTTCAACTTTTTTAAAACACAATTATATGTAATGATAAGTTTTATTTAAAAATTTATTTATTTGATTACTGCAGAGATTACTTTTTTCAGAGTTCAACTTTTATTGAGTATGTTATGAAGTGGCTTAGTCAAAAAACCAAAGCCCATGTCATCAGACTCCTGAGATTCCTCTTTCTTTGGTGGGTCAGCTGTGGTGGGAGTAGGACCTCTGGCTGGTGCACCATCTGCTGCTGTGGCAGGTCCACCAACCCCTACATTGCCAATAAGACTCCTAACATTGACATTGGCCAGAGCCTTTGCAAACAAGCTTAGCCAGAAATGTTCAACATTTACACCAGCTGCTTTAATGAGGGCATTAATTTTATCCTCTGTCACTGTGACCTCTTCATCATGCAGGGTAAGGGCTAAGTAGATGAAGGCAAGCTCTGAGGCTATAGCTGTGGTGTGAGTGAGTGTTAGGTGAGCGCTGCTGGAAGTGGTGCTAGTTGCTGGGTCAAGTGAAGGCCTACCCCAACTAGGCCCAAGCTTCCTGGGAAGGACCGAGGACCTTGCCAGAAGCTGGGGGAACCAGATATTAATTTTAAAACATGATTATTGACCTTTTGTATTTCTCCTTTTGAAAATTATGGGTCCTTTAGCCCATCTTTCTACTGAGATATTTGCTTTACTTAATTTACAAAGTATCAAGTGTTGATCTTCCATACGTGTTGTATTTTCAATTTTATCATTTATAAATTATTGCAATTTTTACTTTGTAATTTTTATTTTTGTGCATATTTATTATATTTTGTAGTTGTTGGGGAGTCTGTTACTGCATTAATGCATAGACAGTCTTTGAAGTCTTTCTGCCCCATATCAAATCTGATATTTCTTTCTAGTTTTATTTTAATGCCACAGCATTTCATTTAAATCTTTAATTTAACCCAAATCCATTTTAACATAAGGAACATATCCAACTCATATTTTTCTATGATGAACTACTTATCTCTATATAATTTGTCAAATAATTTATTTTCCAATTTATCATAAATCAATTTATGTCTTATTTTGTGTTTCTTGATCACCAAAGTCGCAATATTTCGGATGCCTATTATGTACCAGAACTGGTACAAACAGAGTGATGACACAAAAATCCTATCCAAAAGAAATTAATAGTTTATTTTGGAAATAGGCAAATGGTTTATTTCAGTAAGATATGATCAGAACTGACAAAGGGATCATACCTGGGTACTCCATCTCATTTTCTTTCTAATCCTGTGTGGAGTTACCTGTTAAAACAATCTTTTACACATTTGATTGTCCATATTCCTTCAGGACCTGTTTACATATTAGCCCATTAGGCAGTGGGACACACTATATTTATGTGTGATGTTGTTGTTGAATTATGAGTGCTGTGCTCTCCACTGTGACTTGCTTCATAGGGATTTCGTCCACTTGCTCTTGAATGTCACCCAGCTCAGCCCATGGTTTCAGAATGAGGGTGTCCTACTGCCCTCTGAGGCCTCTACAGAATTCATCCACATCCACTAGCTTAGACAGGTCATCCTGTAGCAACACCTACAATATAGAAACACCCACAGTACAGAAACACCCATGTTAGATTACCAGCATGAACAGCCTTGAGAGGTGTGATGTTCCCAGAGGGAGAACGTAACCATGCCATCAAAGGTTCTCTACAGGCTCAGGTTTTCATGCAAGATACAAAATCTGTCAAACTGTCAGGAACCCAGCATGAATGGAGTCTGTGTGAAGCCACATCACAGTGCCACTGTCAGAGAATTCTCCTGCCCTCATTCTTTTACCTAAAAAAGAGCAAATATAAAAGTTTTCATACTGTTGCTTTCTTGCTTACTCCAATGACCACAATGTTCCCTCTTATGATCAAATGAAGTTAAGATTATATTTTAAAAGGAATTTCTGTGTTTGATTTTATCTCCACCTCTGGAACTAAGTGGGTTTTCACTCTGTGAGCTACAACTTGTAGACAGAGTAATGTCATGACAGTTACCCTTTGTAAAAAGTCAGCTCAAGCAATGATTGCAGGATCACAGGGCAAGCTGGAAACAATTTTCATGTGGTGTCTCAAAAAAAAAACCTTTAAAAATAAAGTGTACAAAGTATTGACAGTTAATGCTGAATCTCCAAATTCTGTGCCACAGTTTTGGAGTAGTATGTATTTCTCACAGCACACCGCAATACAGTTTACCTGATGTTTGGCCCTGAACACTGAAAGCTTTGCTATTTGTAAAAATTAATAAATAGGAACCTCATTTAAAATGGAGGAGGGAGCCTAGAAGAAATAACTTTCATGCACTTGTCACTCAGGACACACTTCTGACCTTAACAGGAAGAGATGCTCTTTGCATCTCTGACAGAAAGTGAGCCTACCTCAGCAGGAAGAAGAAAATATTCCTCCTTGCCTAGTAACAGCTCAGCCGATGGGAACTGGTCATAATTCAGCCAACGAAAAATCACTATACTTCAAGATTTTACTTTTCTCCTAATAACTCTTCATTTACAACACCCCCTACAAGTCCATAAAAGCTTTTCTGTCCTTTGTTTTTCTGGACATGCTCATGGTTCACCATTAGACTTCATGCTGTTCCTAAATAAACTTATTTAGTTAGAGAAATATATGCTGTTTGTATAAGGTCAACAATTCTGATGCCAGGTTGTGCACACACAGGCCAAAGCATTCTCTTCTGCTTTCACTGAGACTCACAGGGCGTTAAAGTGCTCAAAACTAGAGGGAGAACAGAAATAAAAAATCAAAGAGCACAACAGTGTTTGCCAATCATTCTTACCCATTTATATTTCTTCCCTTAAAAATGGAATTCCCTAACACTGTGGCCCAGGCTTCCACTAGCAGTACAACTAAATGGCTCCAACAAAAATGCACATGTACATTTATTTCATAGGAGGCTAATGGCAAAGTCCTCAGGCACCACTACAGGTTGTTAAGGTTGAGACAAGACAAGAAAACAGAAAATGAAGAAAGAGAAAGAGAGAGGGAGAGAAGAGAGAGACTTTCTTTTAATAGATTTATTGAATAGTTAATGTTTAGTTGTAATAATAGACGCTTCTCTAAAAGATTTATAAGGTAGACAGGATTTGACATTTCCTAAGTGTATCTATAAATATCTATCATCACCTTTTGGGAGCTAAAAAATGCAGCACAGTTAATCTATATTACAGGTTTTACATCTGTCCCTGGATGCTAGCATTACAGATTATAGTGGTTCCCCTGTGATTGGAAAGTCCCTTACCTTCTTTCCTTGTTTTTCTCTTTTTAATTTAGTAATTCAAATCATCTCAGGTATTACCTGTCAATAAATTCTCTTTACAGATGAGATATGTTAAGATCACATATACATATATATATATATAACATCATATGTTTATTTGTTAATTAACATTTAATTTAATATAACCCTCTAATGAGAAAAAAATTAATAACTATTGTACCAGAATTCAAATAAGCACCATGGTTATTGTTTCCTAGTCTTGGGCTCTTGCCATTAGAAAAAGGTGTCTAAGAGTACCTTTCTGCTTATTCTACTTCATTTATTCACTCAACAAATGTATTAATTCAAAATCACTCATTTAATAGGAAGCTGAACCTCTCCAACCCCCTCCACCTTATATCTAGCTCATGCTCCCCATGCTCTTTTGTTCAAAAGTGCTTTTTCTTAAGCACTATGGAGGAGGTAGAGGCCTTAAATGTGTTCCAGAATTCATGGGCACAGTGACCACATCAAGAGTAGAAACCAAGATAAGGCAGGTGAATAAAGTCTGTCTCACAAGTGATGCTGAATTAACATTTCCTTTCTCCTGCCTCATTTGAATGTAAGAATCTCAATGCCCACCAACACCTACTACATTGTTTTAATCAGAATTTTCACATCTCTCTTGAGATTTTGTTTTTTTCTTGTTGTTGCTGTGCTTGTGTACTTGGATGTGTTCAACTACATTCTATCTCTAGTTTTGCTGTGACCCTTTAGGAATGTCCAGTTTCTGTCACTTCCATCATACATTTCATTCTATTCTGGATTTCTGCTCCAAACTGCTACCAAAATCTAGAAGTTGAGTTGTAATAGTTAATCATCCACCAGGGAAAAGTCATTTCCTGCATGTTCTTCTGTAGTTCACTGCTGTTCTTTACCCTTTCTTGGAATTATTTCCTGTATTTTTGCTTGACCTTGTTTTGTACTTTTATTTTTTGTAATGTTTTCATTGACTTTATATCCCAGTAATACATAATTTTTCCATGACCACCACTACCATTTCCCATCACCAGCTAACACTTAGTGAGTACTCACTGACCAGCAGACATAGTGTTAATATTTATTTACCTAATAAACATATTTATTTACCTAATATACATTCACTTAATATTTATTATCTTTCTTAATATTTCTAAAATCAATGTGAAATTGCTATTAGTGCCACCAATGCCTCACAGAAGAGTTGATCCTCATTAGATTTCTGAATATTTCTAGAATGAATGATGAACAAACCCTCATTTTAAAATAGATGAAGCTTGCACTTAGGAACACTGCACCTTGCTTCAGATCAGGCAGCTAGTAATAATAAGTTAACTTTTATCAGAAGCTTACTAAGTGCCAGGTCGTATTCCAAGTGCTTTCACAAGTATTAGTTATTTTGTGTATTTTTGTTTTGTTTTGTTTTCTTATCATCCTATGAGGAAAAAAGATGCTTCTGTGCTCTTAACAGAATGGAATTAGGACCGTAGGGAAAGAATATCTTTTTTTACTATCATCCTGGGATTAATTGCTTAGTCTGTGAAATAAACTGATAACAAGCATATTAATGGAAGAAAAGGTATATAAATTTATTGTTTTAATGTTATGTGTACAGGGGCATCACACAGGAAAAAAAGTATAAACACCTAAACAGCAGTGAGATTTAGGAACTCATTAATCATTTTAATAGGGGAAGAGGAGGGAGAATATGGGCAACGTAGGAAAAAATAATTTTAGGAAAGATGAATGGGTCCTTAGAAGAATAGAGGGGAGATATGATAGTTTGTGACAAAGTTTGGGGGCCATATCAACTTCCAGTTTGTTCTCCTATGGTGAGTCAATCTATCCTGGTAGATGAAATTCCTGAGAAGGAGACTGATGACAATTGAGTTTTTTGGGGAGGTTCTGACTTTAGAGCGATAAGGAGTATTCAGGGAAAGTCTCTACCTGTTTTAATTATTTTCTAAATTTCCTCTGTACAAAATAATCACTGTGTTAAAGTGATGTATTTAGGGGTGTCATGACGAACTCTTCTAGTACAAATGGGCAAAATTTCAGAGAAACAGTATATTCAATAAAAGCAAAATGCAGTTTAAACTATTTCATATCCTAGTGATATTTTCCACCACGATATATTCAAGCAAAGGCTGTGCAACTGCTCCCCAAGGGTGCTATGGAGTGAATTCCAACATATATTGGGAATTTAAAAACTGATTATCTGAGTTATCTTGTTTTTAGAGTGTCTTATCTTTTGGCAAGACCTTGGACAAGAAAAACCTAAACAAACAAAAAAAAAAGAGATGATTAGGTACATGGCCCTTCCTTATTAAGTTAGAAAACATGGTACAGAAAACCATGATGGAAGAAATTTTGAATGAGTAGAAATTCAAGTTAGTATGAAAGCACAATGATTGTTTTTACCAACTACTCTTCACAGTAATCAAAAATTCCACCATCTTGATTACAAACATATTCACAGAAATTATCTTTCCATTGAATTTCCTCAAACATCTTACATTAGTGTGACTAGAGACCCTGGCCTTCTGTGTTGGTGATTTCCTAAGCCTCATAATAGCATTATTTCATGGTTCTTGTAATCTAGAAAAAAAATACTGTGTTTTATTTTAAACACTTATTCTATAGTATTTGGACCTTGCAGTAACTTCTTGGATCAGAAATTATGACTTCATAAAATAGAGTGAATTTGCTGCATCTGAATTTTAATAAGCATCCAATTTAACATTATTTCAAGAATTCTTGCATACATTAAAACACTATATACCAATTTTTACATTTCCTTTTGGTCAAGCATCACAAAGACAAATTACATGTAAATACTTAATCATTCCTTCTTAACTGAGTTTCAGGATAATTCTTTTTATCCAAGTTATAATTAAAAGGATTTTTCATCCTATTTTTACTTAGCATACCTCTACTCTTGGATGTCCTTAAAGCTTTGAAACAAAATAATGGAAAGTATCTAAAAATTATATTTTACACTGTTTTTATATAATGAAAAAGTAAGGCTATGTTTACATGTATTTGGTTATGTGATCTAGTATTTTACTGATTAGGTCATATTCTCTCCAGAGAGAAGCTGCAAATTGTAGTAGAAAGAATCCTGTTTTTGTTTTGAAGTTAGAGAACATACTGTGTTTCAGCTCCCACCTGCCATTAGATGACCATAGCTATTCCTGTATCTTAATCAGACTACTTAACTCATCAAAAAAACTAATAAATGGTAATAATATACATGTCACATGGTTATTATTTTTTAAAATGAGTAGAATAATGTGTGGAATAATGTGCCATATTAAAAAAGCCTTTACTGAGATTATATTATGCACGAGTTACTAAGGATATACAGATAAATAAGAAAACAGTAGTTTATAAAATTTAATGCAATATACACATTATATATCTTTATTGAAAGGTCTTAATAAGTACGTCACTTACTGATATATAGCTTACCCCTATTTAACTCCAGAGTTTCAAAATAACCTTCATATATAATATACTGAATATAGCAAATGTGACTAGATTTGCAAAAGAGAATCAGATATAGTAGGCCCCGTTTACCTGAAGTTTCCCTTCCTGCAGTTCCTGTTCAACTGCTATCCAAAACTATTAAATAAAAAATCATAGAAATAAACAATTCATAAACGGATTACCATTCGGAGTTGAAATACTGCACCACCTCTCTCTGTCCTGCCAGGGATGCGAATCATCACTTTGCGCAGAGTATCTACACTGTACATATAGTGCAAGTCATTTTGAGAAAGAAAGAGACTACATTCATATAACTTTTAGTGCAGTATATTATTATAATTGTTCTATTTTAGTATTACTGTGCTATTAATTTCTTACTATGCCTAATTTATAAATTAAACTTTATTGTATATATGTAGTAGAAGAAAACATAATATAAACGAGGTCTATCCAGAAGGTATCCAATCATGTAATATGAAAAATAGAGACATTTATTGTATAACATACAAGATACAAGAAACATTGTACATAGGAAAATGATGCCTCAGTCCCCTCCAAAGTAGGCACCTTAGAACCTCATACAGTTCTCCCAATCGCCATCAGCTGCTCATATTTTCCTGAATCTCACTGGTGATCTGAAATCTCCTCCCTTCCAAAGGTGATTATAGTTTTGGGAAAAGCCAGAAGTCACAAGATGCCAAATCTGGGCTGAATCACCCAGGTGGTTTGATGTTTTGCAAAAAAAACTGCATGAGATGTGATACATGATTGGGCATATTGTCGTGATGAAGCTGCCAATCACCAGGTGTCCATAGCTATGGCCTTCTGAATCATATGAATAATTTCTGTGGAGGAATGAATGTTCAAGCTTAACACAAAATTTGATGCAGATTTGTTGTTCTGCTTGCTCAGTCATTTTGAATGTGATAGCTACACTCAATGGTGACTACCAATCCCACTGACTAGTACAGTGAAGTCGTCATTGTCCACACATGCACAATCCAGTCCACTTTTCTTGGCTACAAGGTTACATCAATGTAGCACAAACCATTCTTGTTATATTAACAATGGTTGGACTTTTTCTGGACAGATGTTGTATACAGGCTTTGGTACTATCTGTGGTTTCAGGCAACCACTGGGAGTCTTTCAACATACCACCTGAGGAAAAGGCAGAGCTATTGTATTTAATTTGTAACAACCTTCACCCTCAACCCTGCACATGCCCTCCTCCACATATATCTTTTTTCTCTCTATTAACTTTCAGTATGGAATGCTCCTTTCTGCTCTTGGTTTCCTTTTTCTAAAATGCAATTGTTTTGCTTATTCAAATTATAGGAATTGGGATGATGCTATATTGTTTGGCTTACTCTGGAATTAAACTGCACAATGACAGGAAAACAACAAATTATCATTGTTTTGGGTGGTAGAGAAGAATTAGATATTTGCACAATGGAAGAGGAAACATCCCCAGTGCCTATAACAAATGTGGAAAATCAAGCAATTTGGGAGTCTCAACTAACAAAATCATCATGGCACATTTGTTGTGAAATTGTCTCTGTATTTCTAACCAATGCTGTTATATTGATGTTCCTGAATGTCTAAGAAATGACTTCTCAAAATACATGGTGTGATGAGCACCAGGTAAGAACTATTAGGCATCTTTTTTTTTTAATGGTCATTTTCATATGATAATTGGAAAGGCTAAATTCACCCTGTGTTTCTCTTTTCAAAATCAGGGAGCTCTTTTCTGCTGCATCTTTAGCATTGTATTATCTAGTTATTATCTTAAAGTGAAGTACTGTGCTGAGGATATGGCCTTAAGTGTCCTAGTGCTCCCTGAGCAGGTTCCAGAATTTGAAGAGTGGGGAAGAATGCTCGTATTTGCTAGACAAAGTCATTTAGCTAGGTCATTTAAACACAATTTTATTCAGACACAAATAATTTGGTGTGCAGATTCTGCCATTTATTTACTATTTAAACTTTATTAATTTATTTAACTTTCTAAGCTTTAGTTTCCTCAGTTATATAATGAAATAATGGCACTCCTTACCTTAAGCAGTTGTAATGAATATTTAAAAAGTTGATGTGTGTAATGAATTTTTTACCATGTCTGATATTTAGCAATGCCTCAATAAATATAAATTGTTATTCACTGCAGTCAAGATTCAAAGTATCCTGACAGACCATGTGACCTAAGTATAACAAAGTAATCAGATATGGGAACACAGAGGAGTATGCAGACACTCGGAAAAGTAAAACAACAAAAAAAGCAGCCACCCAATTATCAAAAAGAAGAAAAAGTAACACATTGTCTCATTGAATTGAATTCTAACAATCCTTTAAAAAATTATTTTAACAATGAAAAAAAAACTTGAGAAACTGATAAATTAAATAATATACCCAAGATTGCATCACTATTGAGTTGTAGAGTTAGCATTTGATCTTACGTCTCTCTCACTTAGAGTCTTTTTTCCCCACACAAGTCGGTATTAAATATCAGGCACGCTTAAATAGGGAAGTAGCAGGAAATATATATTCAAGTCAAAGAACAAAAGAGCAAAGTATATTGATTCAGGTCAGTGACCAGATTGCATTTGAGAGGACTGATATGTCTGTGATTCCCCAGTAGAGACCTTTTCCCACAGAGGATATTTGGAAATTTCCACCATGGTAGGGCATGAATGGCTGAGTCTCAGTTCACACATGTATGTGTACGAGTGACTGTGGATATCTGGGTACAGGAGTCAAAGACTGGTACTGACAGAATATGCCCAAAAAACAGAGTGCCAGTGACTCTTGGACTATCTCAACAACCATGAAAGCAATATAAAAATAATCTAGGTACTATAATAATAATTAATAGTATTTGTTATAGTACTGTGCTTCAATGTCAGGGACTGTAAAAGTGCCTTCCTCATATTAATTCTATTTTTTATAACAACCATGCAAGAGTCCTGGCTGGAATTGCTCAGTGGATTAAGTGTCAGCCTGTAAACCAAAGGGTCGTTGGTTTGATTCTCAGTCTAGGGCACACTCCTGAGTTGCAGGCCAGGCCCCCATCAGGGGGCACATGAGAGGCAACCACATATTGATATTTCTCTCCCTCTCTTTCCACCTACTTTTACCCTCTCTTAAAATAAGTAAATAAAATCTTTTTAAAAAATAACCCTGTAAGAATTATATTGATATTCCTAGCTATAGAACTAAAACAGGGCTCTAAAAGAGAGTATTTGCCCAAAGTCCTGTGATTAAATAATGGTAGAAGAATTAGATTTATTAGAAATTATGAAGGGTTCTTGGCTAGGAGGCAGGGAAAGTAAATTCTATTCATAACTGAGAATTAGTAAAACCTTCAGTACATTATATTATCTTTCAATATATAGCAGCATGATGCAAAGAAAGAGCACTTGACACTGTCAAAAGATCCTGTCTTTAGTGTTGCTTCATATTATAAAATGCAGCCTTGGACATATCACCCAATTAAACTATTTGACCCTCTGTATCCTCAGTTGTAAAATATGGGAATAATATTTCCCCTGTCTCTTTCATTGAGCAGTAATAAGACTGTAATGAAATCATGAATTGGCACTACATAAATTCAAAGATAATATGCAAATGTGACATTATTTTTGCTGATCTCCCTGGAGCTACATTTGAATAAAATGAGTTAATACATATGAAAATACTATCCAATGATAATAAAAAAAGAAGAGTCATTAAGGATAAGTGAAACCATTCCTGCAAGGTATATAGGTATTTGAATATTTATACAGAAAGGTAATTGTTGTGTTTTCTATTCTTATTTTTATATGTTCCAAGAATTTTTTCATCAATTACATTTATGATGAAGAACTCTATATTTTTAACAAAAAATGATGAGCATCCGATCAAGATGGTGGTACAGTTAAAAATGTACTCTAACTTTCCCAGAATCACATCAAAATTACAACTAAACTATAGAACAATCATCATTCAGAACCACCTGAAATTGAGCTGAATGGAAGTCTTGCACCAAGGAATTGAAAGAAAAAGCCACCCTGAGACTGGTAGGAGGGGCAGAGACAAAGAAAGGGCTGCTCCCACATTCATATGCAGCAGTTTAAAATTGGGAGGGATAATCAGCTGTGGAGGTTGCCCCTGAGGAGTGAGGGGTCCCAGTCCCACACCAGGCCTTCCAGCTCAGGGTTACAGAGCCATGAAGAGAAGGCTTCCTAACATCTAGCTGTAAAAACCAGCAAGACTGAGGCTGAGGGAGATGGAAGGCTTCTGCAGTCCCAGGCATTCCTCTTAAAAGGCTCCCACAGAGACTAACTCAGATTCACTTCCACTGAGCTTCAGCACTAGAGCAGTAGCTTGAAAGGAACCAGGGACATACAGAGAGGAATTGAATTGTCTGGAATCAGGGTGAGAGCTGGGGGTCAACTTTCTGCCCGACAAAACAGCTGGCAAAGGCCATTGTTCCATTTCTGAGGTTCTCCCCACACCAACAGAAGTCACAGGCAGGTAACATATTTGAGTCTCCATCAGTCTGGTTCACATTGTTTGCCCCGCTCCGGTGATTCCCTGAGATCCAACCCAACCCCAACCCTGCTTTTGGCCCCCTCAAGCCATTTAGAGTTGCTTTTTCATGCAAATGGATTCTCTTGCCTTGCACTTCAAAATTTCCTAAAATCTGTCAAAAAAGTAGCATCTGGCCTCTGTGTACCCCATATTTCTTGATAAATGACCCCAGGCCTGGCAATAGCAGCAGCTGGCCTTTGTTTTCAGTTTGGCCGTCCTGAGTACCTCGAAGCCCAACGCAAGTAGCATCCATCTTCAGATCACTTTGTAGCTCATGCTGGGTGATCCCAGATAAGGCACAGATGGTGGCTGACCTTGTATCTCCCAGGAGACCCCAGAACTAGTGCACCTGGTGGACAGCCTCAGAGCACACCAGATTACAACCCTGCCACCTCCATGAGTGACACACCAAAAGGATGAATTCAGTGAGCACGAAAGCCCCACTGAAGCAATGGTCAGCTCCTGCAAATAGCTTCTCCACATAGTTGCACCCAGCTCTTGCAGCCTATTGGTCTGGGGGTCAATCCTTCCCAGTAATGCCAACAGAAATCAAGTCTGAACTACAATATAATAGTTCACACAGCCTACACAGTGGCATACCTGGAGCACCCAGTTCATGTGACTGGGGAGGCTGTGCTAATGTTAGTGAAGACTTTAACAGCATGAAAAAGGACACAGAAACCATAAAGAAAAAAAAATTTGAAATGAA